ACTTTAAAGCAGCATCTAGAAACCAGGAGAGAAAATGGCGCTCTACTAATGTTGAAGAATTTTATTTAACTTGGAAAGATATTCTGCTAACATATAAAAAAGCTCTCCGTAAAGCTAGAACTTTATATTACTCATCTTTAATAGAGGAGAATAAAAATAACCCTAGGTTTCTGTTTAGTACTATTGCTAGACTAATTAAAAGTCCCATTTCTGTTGAACCATGTGTCCCTACAACTATAAGTAGTGATGACTTCATGAGATTCTTTATAAATAAAATTATTTCAATTAGAGAGAAAATTCAAACCATCCTTCCTTCTACTATCTCTAGTCCCCTGTCAAATGAGACAACTTTAAAAATTTCACTAGAGCCTGATTTATGTTTGGACAGTTTTTGTCCTGTTGAGCTCTGAACTGTCAAAAATAATAACCTCATCCAAACCATCCACATGCCTGCTAGATCCCATCCCAACCAGACTGTTTAAAGAGGTATTTCCACTAATTAATGTCCACATTTTGGATCTACTTAATTTGTCTTTAATGGATGGTTACGTACCACAGAGCTTTAAGGTTGCTGTAATTAAACATTTACTTAAGAAGTCTGATCTTGATTCAGAAATTCTGGCCAACTATAGATCTATATCTAATCTAACTTTCATCTCAAAAATTCTAGAGAAAATAGTTGCAGGTCAGTTGTGTGAACATCTACAAAGAAATAATCTGAAGAGTTTCAGTCAGGGTTTAGAGCTCATCATAGCACAGAAACAGCACTAGTAAAAGTCACTAATGATATTCTCATGGCCTCAGACAATGGACTGGTGTCTCTACTGGTCCTGTTAGACCTCAGTGCTGCATTTGATACAGTTGATCACAATATTTTACTACAGAGGCTTGAATATGATGTTGGGATTACAGGAACAGCTCTAAAATGGTTTAAATCATATCTATCTGATAGATTCCAGTTTGTAAATATAAATAATAAATATTCTTCATAGTAGTCATTCAGACCAGTCACTGTAGAGCTCTTTGGGACTGGGATGATGATGGCGGTCTTCAGGCAGGTCTTGTTGATACTAAATAAACCACATAATAAACTTAGGAGATACTCTGTGCACTTATTAGTGGGTAAAATCACGACTTCTTTAAACATTTGATATTTTTCCATTTACAGATTTGTAATATTTTATAGTAAACTTTGGTTTTGATGAAACAGCGCCCCCACCTGTGGCCGTCACACTCCATCAGGTTGCATGTGGTACTGCAGCTCAGAGGAACGAAGCGGGAGATGCGGGTTCGATTCCCTGGTCGGACCAGCATGATTTCACATGAAGCCAACCCAACAAAACCTCTGAAAACAGATGCTCTGTGTTTATATAGAAATACTCAGCAGAAAGTACTCAGAAGGAGGAAGTAATCAGATTACAGTACTTTTAATCCACGGAACATTTTAAACTTTGAGATGTAACGATGTAGTTAAAATTAAACCTGCTTTCATTTCTTTGTTCAAAAACAAAACAAAACATGAGCCTGGTTCCAAAAATCTTTTTATTCATAAATCTGCGTATAACCCGAACTCAAACACAAAAACTAAAAAACAACCACATCTTATTGTAAAGCTTTTATTTTGCAACAATCCTTCTGCTTTGGTGACAGCATTTTAACAGTCAGAACCAGAAAGTTCTTCTGAACTCAGACAGCAGGTTGATTTAGCTACTTTTAAAAAAGCAACAACCATCATCATCTTCATCAAAACATGCAGAAACATATTCCAGAATATACAAATAAACAAATAATAATAAATATAAATAAATCTTCAGCTTCAAGTTCAAATTCAGAAACACAAAAATATTTTCACATCAAACTTTTATCTTCTGGTCCAAAACAAAACTTAGAAAATATTTTAGCTGCAACTCTGAGACTATAAACTTCCTGTTATTGTCACAAATAGGGTCCCCCCCCCCCCCCCAACACACACACTGGTTTACCACTGACACAAGTATTTTTACTAACGCCTTAGCTCCGCCCAGTTTGCTAATGTCAGAATCGACTCTGCCCCCTGGTGGTGATAACACAGCACTGAAACCATGATCGTCATGCAGAGACGTCACTCCACGAATCTTTTAACAATATCAGAAAAACTAAACATCTCGTAAGAAACAGTCTTTTACCACAAATAGAAATGAACATCTGAGAATCTTGAAACAATGAGTCACTTTCAATCTGTAGGAAGTAGAAGAGGATAACACACGTCTGTTCCGACAAACATTTGTTTAGCATGCAGAAAGTCGTATTATTGCCACAGGATGACTTCAGGTTAATCCCAGCTTCATGGTCCTGCAGCTTTAAGAGTTTTCTCCGGACGTTAAAGGGCCAGTGTGGATTCTGCAGCGCCATCTAGTGGCACCACGTTCAAACTGCAGAGAGTCAGAGTCCTCCACAGTCAGGCACAGGAAAGGGTTTTAAAGTTTTAATTTATGGAACATTTGCTTTAGTGTAAATTATTTCAGCAGATCAGAACCACCTGAAACCAGCTCTGTCTAACCAGCTCTTTACCTCACTAGGGTCCTCAAGAGGTCATGGTAGTTTGTCCATACAGTCTACATGTGTTTTGTGGACTTGGAGAAGACATGTGATCGTGTTCCTTGGGGTACACTGTGTGGGGTGCTCTGTGAGTATGGGACTGGGGGCTCGTTGTTACGGGCTGTTCGGTCCCTATACAAGCGGTGCAAGAGTTTGGTTCTCAATGCCGATAGTAAGTCAGACTCTTCAGGGTGGGAGTTGGATTCTACCAGGGCTGCTTGTTGTCACTGATTCTGTTCATAACTTTTATGGACAGAATTTCTCGGTGCAGCCAGGGGATGGAGGGTTTCCGGTTCAGTGACCTCAGGATTCCATCTCTGCTCTTTGCAGATGATGTGGTCCTGTTGGCATCATCGTGATCTTCAGCTCTCACTGGAGTGGTTCACAGCCGAGTGTGAAGTGGCTGGGATGAGAATCAGCACCTCTAAATCTGAGGCCATGGTCCTCAGTCAAAAAAGGGTGGATTGCGCTCTTCAGGTCCAGGGTGAGGTTCTGCCTCAAGTGGAGGAGTTCAAGTTTTTCAAGGTTTTGTTCATGAGTCAGGGAAGAATGGAGCATGAGATTGACCGATGATTGGTGCAGCGTCTGCAGTATTGTGGTGTATCTGTTGTGGTGAAGAGAGAACTGAGCTGGAAGGCACAGCTCTCTGTTTACCAGTCAGTCTATGTTCCTCCCCTCACCCATGGTCATGAACTCTCTCTGTGCTCTAGGTGGAAGCAGATGTGTCCTCTTCTGCTCCCCCCCACCCCCACCCCCCACCGCTTCCCTGCTTTGCACTCTTTTGTCTAGTGAACCCTTAAAGAACCTCTTTTTTTCTGCATACCTTCCTAATTCGATGGATTTGATCAGCTGGTCTTGAAACAAAATTTATCAACTTCTCCTGACAGGAAGTCAGGGTAAGGAGGACCCTCTTACCTCGATGGAAACAAATTGGATTTATGATGACAACTGGATTCTGCTGTTTGGGTTGGTGAATCTGGATTGTCTACAAATTTGTGTGGAATGTGTCGAAGCTTGGCAGCACTCAGACTGAATTATGTGGAGCTGTGTCAGTGTTGGAGCAGCTGTTATCAGGACTGTGAACTTTCTGGCAGCACCCATGAATGGTGAGAATAATCTTGGAAAAGCTGTGAGCTCGACTTTCTGCGTAAATAATCAATTCATCTGTTTGGAGTCACCATCAGAGAATGTTCTAGCAAGACTTTAAAAGGCAGAAATGGCAATTTACGAGTTCTGCCTGACCCAAACTGTAGATCTGGACCTGGCCTTGAAGGCAGACTATCTCAACTCCTCCTGGGATGTTATGAAAATCAAAGATGCTCTGTCTGTCTCCTCACCCTTCCCTTCCCCAAGGCCGTGGACATGTGACAGAACCTCAACCGAGCTGAAGATGAATGTCACCTCTTATCTGGACAATGGCTGAGGGGGGGCTCTGGACTACGCTACGACCTTCCCTCAAAACTCAATGCCTTCACCGGCCCCATATGTATCGTGTCTGTTTATGTTGCTTTGCTGTGGTAATTTTTTTTATGCCTTGAACCGTGCCCTGTCTAGGACACGGTGTGAAAGATCTTTTTTAATAACTTCTCTCCTCATGTTTTCTTCCATTCTCTCATCTAAGCCTAAAAGTATTCTGAAAAGGATAAGAGGCCGCGCTCTTAAAGAGCAGCAGCATCCGCCCATCTTTCAGACGACTGTACGAACATATTCTCGTTGTATCTCGGTACAATGACAATAAAGTTTATTCTGAATCTGATTCTGTAGAGACTGAAAGAATGAGATTGTGGATCCAAGAGGTAGAAATGAGTTTCCTCTGCAGGGTAGCTGGACTCTCCCTCAGAGACAGGGTGAGAAGTTCGGTTATCAGGAGAGACTCAGAGTAGAACCACTGCTCCTTGACATTCAGAGGAACCAGTTGAGGAGGTTCATGTCCGACTGGGAGGAGACCCTGGGGAAGACTAGGACACACTGGAGAGACTATGTCTCTCGGTTGGTCTGAGAACGCCTTGGAGTCCTCCCAGAAGAGCTGGAAGAGGTGGGTGTGGAAAGAGATGTCTGGACCTCCCTGGTCTGCTGCCCCTGAGACCTGAGTCCAGAACAAGAGGAAGATGATGGATGGGTGGGAGGGAGGAAGGAAGGAAGGAAGGAAGGAAGGAAGGAAGGAACATATTTTTTTCCAGTCTGAACTGGTGACCAGCTCTGATCAGTTCTGTTTCTGCAAGAAGATCTAGAAAATTAAACTCTACAGCATAAACTGGGGCACGAAGACAGACCCCAGAGGTCCACCTGCTGATGGAAGAACATGCAAAATGTTCTTCTGGAGACAAATGATTTTAACAGACATCTTTTCTGCTGGTTCTAATAGTTCTCCAACAAGATCCAAAGAATCAGAAGGTCCGAGGATGTAAAAGACATCTGTTGATGTTTCCAGAGCTGATCCTGGACTGATCAGAACCTGTAGTTTGTTTCTTCAAGCAGGAATCAGCCCGATCAGAATCCTTTCTTTAGCTGTCGTTCAATTATTTCAGCCGCAAGCTCAAAGGAGCTTCACCTGGTCCACCTCCTGACGACTGCTCTTCATCCAGTCTCAGAGTCCAGACCCGGTTTAGAAGTCGTAGTCCCATCCAGAAGTATCGTCAGGTGGTGGCTCGTCCGTGTCCTCAGGAAAACTGTCAAAGTTACTCGTGTCGATCGGAGACGAGACCTGGACACCAGGATCAAAGGAAACAACAGCTGAGGTCAGAAATGCTTTTCATTTACTGAGAAGTTCTGATCCGGACCGGTTCATACAAAACAAACTGAAGTCACAGCAGGTGGTCAAACAAGCACCTGAGGACCAGCTGTCCTGTCTGGTGATTAAAGTTAGATCGTTGTCTCGAGCGTCAACGTTTACGATCTGAAGAACAGAACTGAAATATTTACAGAACCTAAGGTTCTCCTGACTGGGTTCAAACGGGTCAGCTACCTGTTCACCTACCTTAGGTGTGATGGGCGGAGTCAGAGTTCCTTTCCGCAGCCCATCCCAGTTAAAACCTTCAAACCACCTGAAGACAGAAACCTTCGTTTGAGCTCCATTAGAATAAAATGTGTACCGTGAACAACTCACAGATCACGCACTTGTGCTTCTGGATGTCCTTCACGCCATTTTTCAGGTTCCCCAGTCTTTCTGAAGGACTGTCTCTGTGGACACAAACAAACACTGTGAGACTCCGGACCCAGAGCTGAAACCAGGAGGTTCTGCTCTGAAGAACCTCTACCTGCAGAGCCTCTTGATAAGGTTGGCAGCATTCTTTGTGATCTTCTTGGGAAACTCGATCATGTCGATGCCTCTCAGGATGATGTTGTAGGTTTTCATGGGGTCTGGACCCGTGAACGGAGGACTGCAGGGACAAACAGAAACTGTAGGATTCTGAACACAAACCGTCTGATCTGGGTCAGGTGTTCCTGGCCTCACCTGCCAGTCAGCAGCTCATACATCAGGATTCCCAGGGACCAGTAGTCTGCAGAGACATCGTGACCTTTGTTCAGGATGATCTCCGGAGCCACGTACTCCGGCGTTCCACAGAACGTCCATGTTTTCTTACAGCAGCCGATCTTCTTTGCAAACCCAAAGTCCACCTGGAGACAAGATTCAGCTGGACTTCCCAAACCTGCCGTGTTTTTGATCTTTTCAGGAGGAACTTCAGGAAACGACGAGCCGATGAACGTACCAGCTTAGCATATCCTCGGCTGTCCAGGATCAGGTTCTCTGGTTTCAGGTCTCGGTAGATGATGCCTTTGGTGTGAAGGTAGGAGAACGCTTCGACCACGCAGCCGGTGTAGAACCTGGTGGTCGAATCGTCAAACGAACCTCTGAAACCAACAGAACCAAGACCAATCAGAGGAGGTTCTGCTGGTTCTGACCTGGTTAGGGTTCAGGATTTTAAACTTCAGGAGTTTTTTTATTTTTATATCAAAAAACATTTGTTGTTCAGTTTACAGAAAATTAAAGATTTTAAATTATTGTAAGATGTTTTTTAATCTAAATGTAAAATAATGATTTACACTAAAAAATGATCACAACATGATGAAAAATAAACTAAAACAACTTATATATTAATTTTAAAAGACTAAATGTAAACCTCAAAAATAAAATAAAAATTTTATTTTAAAGTTTTTAATTTACTGAAATTGTTCAGACTAGTGGGCAGCACGGTGGCACAACTGGTAGAGCTGCTGCCTCTCAGCGAGCAGGTCCCTGGTTCAAACCCCGGTCCAGGGGCCTTTCTGGGTGGAGTTTGCATGTTCTCTCCGTGCATGCGTGGGTTTTCTCCGAGTACTCCAGTTTCCTCCCACAGACCAAAAACATGCATGTTAGACTGATTGGTAACTCTAAACTGTGAGTGAGAGAGTGAATGGTTGTTTGTCTCGTTTGTCTCTAAGTGTCCCTGTGATGGACTGGAGACCTGTCCAGGGTGTCCCCCGCCCCTCGCACAGTGATTGCTGGACATGGGCACCAGCGACCCCCTGACCCAAAATGGAAGAAGCGGGTAAAGATGATGGATGGATGGATGGATGGATGTTCAGACTAGATTAAAATTAAGCTCTAACAATACAAAAATATAGATTTATATAGTTAAAACAAATATTAGAACAAATTTTATTCCATAGAAGAAATACACATAAGAAGAAATTATGTAAAAAAAAAATTTAATACATAGATGACTGTAATTTATCTGACTTGTAGATAATTTCATAAAAACACTTTATTATACACAATAGGGAAATAATTAGATTGATGGTAAAATAATGAACAAAATATTTTGCGTACGTTATCGATGAGAAACTGAAAAGTAAATATTTTTTAAACCAGCGATTCTCCAGTTGTCTGTTTATTCATCAGAACCTAAACCAGTTCAGGTGGACTCGACTGTCTCAGTATTCCGACAGGTGAGCAGCTTACCTGTCCCTCAGGATGGTCCACAGCTCTCCACCCAGACACGCCTCCATCAGCATGTACAGGTATTTACTGTCCTTAAAGGTGCGGTACAATCTAAACAACAACAACAACAAAGAAACAAGAGACTGAAGATCTGACTCTGCAGTGTCCAGCTCATATTTTAAGAGAAGCATTAAAACCACTTGAAGCTCCGGAAAGAAACTAAACAAAAGATTTAAAGAGTTTTATTTGAAAAAACTGAAAAACCTGCTGGTCTAACTCCACTGGTTGTGGTTCTGATCCACTGGTCTAACTCC